TAGTGCTGCTATAGGCCCCGGAGATGGGGCAACCCGCTAGTGCTTTCCGCTGACCACCTCCCGGAGCCCATCTTTCACACCTTGGTTTATGCCAAGTGTACTAGGGTCGGGCGATATGACCTTTGGGACACCCTACGTGAGATTGCCGAGAATATGGAGGGATTGCCATGGATGGTTAGTGGCGATTTCAACATCTTTCTGCATCCCGATGAGCGTGTGGGTGGCCGCACGGACCGGCCACAGGAGATGTGGGATTTTGCTCAGGCGGTGGCGGACTGCGAGTTAATTGACGCTGGATGTGATGGTGAGCCCTTCACGTGGGTGAGGGACGGACTCAAAGAGAGGTTAGACCGTGCTTTAGTTTCTGAGACATGGTCGAAGGTGTTTGCGGTTACGACCGTCACACACCTTACTCGATTTGGGTCCGACCATTCACCCCTTCTCATCCGGTTCCGATTTTCGAACACCCGCCTCTGCTCTTCGTTTAGGTTCCAAAACATGTGGGTTCGCCACCACTCCTTCCACGACACTGTCAGGGATTCCTGGCTTCACCCGACTGGGCTCTTCGGGATGCGCAATCTCGAGGCAAAGCTCGGCAGACTGCGGCGTCGGTTGAGACAGTGGAACTGAGATGTTTTTGGAAACCTTCATCAGCGCCTTGCTGTGGCTCAGAGTGCGCATGCGACGGCTGAGCGGGCCTATGACCTGGATCCCACTCCGGAGAATAGGACTGCCATGCACCGCTGCCATGCCGAGTACCAGCTCCGACTCCTTATGGAGGAGGACTTCTGGAAGCAGAAGGCGGCCGTTCGCTGGGTGGCCGAGGGCGAGCGGAACACTAGGTTCTTCCAGGGCTACGTTAGGCAGAAGCGTGCTAAGTCGTACATCCATAGTATCGAGGCTGATGGGTCATCCTTGACCCAGGAGGCTCAGATTCGAGAATCGGCTGTTGCTCACTTCCAGACTCTCTTCACCTCTGACAGAGGGTCCCTCGTGGCCCCGAACGCTTCTTTTTACCCCACCATCCCTCCTTTGATTGATCTCATTGGCCTCTGTGAGCTCCCGAGCAGGGAGGAGGTTAGGGATGCTGTATTCGGGATTGATCCCAACAGCGTTTCTGGCCGGGATGGTTTCTCCTCCCTCTTCTATCAGGTCTGCTGGGATATTGTCGAGACTGACGTCCAGGAGGCGATGTTGGATTTTTTCTCCGGCCACCGGATGCCGGATTCCTTCACGTCTACCTCTGTCGTCTTGATCCCCAAACGACCCAACCCGAGCTCTTGGTCCGATTACAGGCCCATCAGCCTGTGTAACGTGACCAACAAGCTCATTTCGAAGATTCTTAACGGCCGTCTTTCCCCTCTTCTCCCCTCTCCAATCTCTCCGAACCAGAGTGGATTCGTGAAGGATCGGGTCATTAGTGATAACATCCTTCTGGCCCAGGAGATGATCCACGACATCTCCCGAGCGGACTGGAAGCGGGCTCCGAATATCGCGCTGAAGCTAGACATGGCTAAGGCGTATGATAGGGTTGAGTGGCCGTTTCTTAGGGAGGCGTTGGCTAGGATGGGATTCCCTGAGCGTTGGATCAGCTTTGTGGAGGCGTGTGTGGAGCATTGCACGTTCTCTGTACTGATTAATGGCAGCCCCACCGATTTCTTTCCCTCCTCTAGAGGCCTTAGACAGGGCGACCCCCTTTCCCCTTCCCTCTTCGTTCTTGTGGCGGACTACCTCTCTCGCTGCCTTGACGGCTTCATCCGCGACTCTCCCCATATGACCTATACCACCTGTGGCTATGGTCCTACCGTCTCTCACCTCTCTTAGGCGGATGACATCATTATCTTCACCCGGGCGGATGATGATGGACTGGTCGAGCTTATGCGCCTTTTGGAGCACTATGGCTTGGTCACCGGTCAGCTGGTCAGTGTGCAGAAGAGCATTTTCATCCTTTCATCTGCCACCGTGGACAGGTGGGCTCAGCGGGTCCACGACATTACTGTCTTTGCGCGTGGCGACCTTCCCATTACCTACCTCGGGGTCCCTTTATATAAGGGCAACCTCACGAGAACGCTCTTTGCGGGCGTCAGACAAAGGATGATTGACAGGATCTCTGGTTGGTCGCATAGATATCTTTCTTTCGGTGGTCGGCTAGCGCTGATCAAGAGCACTCTTAGCTCTCTTCCGATTCACTTGCTTATGATCCTCGACCCCCCTAGGTCTACTCTTGACGAGCTTGACCAGATTATGGCTCGTTATTTCTGGGGTTATGAGGACGGGTCTGGGAGGGGGAGACGTACTCACTGGGTGAGTTGGGACTCTATCTGCCGCCCCCTCCCCGAGGGTGGCCTTGGCATCCGCCGCCTTGGGGACATTGTTACAGCTTTCTCATACAAGCTGTGGTGGCGCTTCAGGGAAGGAAAGTCGCTTTGGGCTTAGTACCTTTGCGGCAAGTACTGCCCTACATGTGCCAACCACCCTTGTTGGGTCACGGCTGTTGATCATGATAGCAGACAGTGGCGGCGCCTCACTAGGGTCGGGAGGCGAGCCCAGGATCACATCTTTTGGGTTTTGGGCGGGGGCGATGTCAGTGTCTGGGATGAGTGGTGGGTAGGTGATAGGCCGTTGTCTGGGGACAGGCAGGTGTCGCATTCCCCATATCTGCTCGTGAGCGACCTCTGGACGGACGGGTCGTAGGATAGGGGGAAGCTTGATAGGGAGTTGGGGGCTGGTGCGGGTTTTAGCGAGCAGTTATTAGATCAGATCCAGCAGATCCCTATCTCGGGGGACGGTTCAGATAGCATGAGGTGGAGACTTACATCATCAGGTGTGTTTTCTACTACCTCGGCTTGGGAGCAGATAAGGCTGAGGGATCGGCCTAATCTCCTCTTCGGGGCTATCTGGAGTGACCTTTTCACGCCTACTATTTCGGTGTTCCTTTGGCGCCTCCTCTTGCGCCGGATACCCGTCGATACTGTGCTACACGCGAGAGGGATCTCCTTCCCCTCTCGGTGTGTGTGTTGTTCTGAGACTGGACGCCATGAGACTGAGACCTTTACCCACTTTTTTCTAGAGAGTGAGATTGTGAGGAGAGTGTTGGAGCATTTTGCCACTTGGACTCATATATCCCTACCCACCACATACAGTTTTTTTGAGCTCCTAAGTTTTTTCTCACAGAGCACACACCTTAGACACGTGGGCTTCCTCATTCCTTGTCTGATCCTTTTGTTCACCTGGACAGAAAGGAATAGTGCGAAGCATAGGGATATTACTTTTATGTTTTCTCACATTGTTTTGCAGGTAGAGAGACACATTTCACTCCTCACCGCATTGGGCAGGCTCACGGCCCGAGACTGGACAGGCTGCACGCCACCGCATCGCTACATGGTGGCCCCACCACCGCCTGTTCGGCCTACACGGGCTAGACCTGTTGTTTGGCTGCGACCTGACTCTCCGTGGGTCAAGCTGAACACTGATGGCTCCTTCGATCGCCACACTGGACTTGTCGGAGGAGGAGGCTTGATTCGGGACCATAGCGGCGCCCTCATCACCGCCTTCCACGCGTCCATTCAGGCCTCCTCGAGCTACGATGCAGAGATTCAGGCACTACAGATTGGCCTTCAGATTGCTGTCCACCTCTCTAGTCATATATGGATCGAGCTGGATGCTGCGGCTGTCGCTACCCTCCTGACTTCAGGCCATCAGGGCTCGTGGCAGATTCAGCACCCGCTTCTACGCATTAGAGATCTACTTCAGTCAGTCTATCACCGGATCACGCACATTTTCCGTGAGGGGAACAGACCGGCTGATTACCTGGCCAGCCTTGGCGCCCCCATACCAGGCACACATACATTCCAGACCGACACTGCTCCACTCCGCCTTCGCACTCTTGTACGGATGGACCAGCTTGGATATCCAGCGTTCCGCTTTCACTAGTATAGGATTTCTATTTTCATTAGTATAGACATTTTTCTCGGGCATCTGTTAGCCCGAAGATCGACTTTATATTGTAGTTTTTTGTTTCTTTTTCGTTTTTCGGTTTTCCTTCTTGTTTTTCTTTTGTTTTTGTTTTTGATTGTCAGACTATGTAGACCTTTGTATCTGGTTCGTTGACATATTGGGCTCCCGTTTTTTGGGCCCTGATCTATGCACAGGTTGGGGATCCAGCCCAATCCCCCGTCCTTCCGGGGCGTTGTTTGTTTTTAAAAAAAAAAAAAAACCTAGCAACAAAAGACAACTAACCTAGCAGCAAGAAAAAAATAACCTAGCAACTTAAGACAACTAATATAGCAACAAAACTCAACTAACCTAACAGCTACAAATAACTAAAATAGCAACAACAAACAACTAACCTAGCAACAAAACACAACTAACCTAGCAAGAAAGAAATAACATAACAAAAGACAAATGGACAACGGTCAACGTCGAAAGTCAACGCCAGAGTCAACGGTCAACGCCGGAAGTCAACGGTCTACGCCGGAAGTCAACGATATTCGCCGGAAGTCAACATCGGAAGTCAACGGTCAACGCCGGAGTCAACGGTCAATGGTCATAACAATATTTAAATAATTAAAAATAAAGAATTAAATAATAAAAAAAAATTATTATTTAAATCAAGATCTAAATCTTGTGGCTAGGAATGAGTCTCACGTCCTCACTTTAAATAATGGGATGCATTGGAACCAATCCCTATATATATATATATATTATAAACAAAATGTGTACTATATATAATTTATAAAATTTATATAATTATCGTTAACGAATCGAATATTCGAATTTCGAATCGAATATCTACAAATTCAAACTCGGATTCGTTTAACTTTTGAATATAAAATATTATTCGTATTCGAATTCGAATTCGAATATTTCGAATTCGAATCACGAATATCGAATTCGAATAAAAAAAGTTTTATTTGTTTATAAGCCTACTACCAAGTCCCTTGAAGGTTACAAATTAAAATGGTTTATAAACAAAAACTTAATGCCAATTAAGCCGTTAACCGTCAGAACAGAGTGTTTTCACCAACCGCGAGAGTAGATCTGACGATGGGCGCCGGAGGAACAGAGTGTTTTCACCAACCGCGAGAGTAGATCTGACGATGGGCGCCGGAGGGTTCATCGGCTCGCATCTGTGTGAAATGACAATGGTGGAGAGGCCTGTGCTGGCGGTGGACATGCACAATGGCAAGATGAAGCACTTTCTCCCTTCGTCCTTACTCGACTTCCACCGCTTCAACCTTCAGAAGGCCTCTCGCCCGGTTCTGGTAAATATATTTATCTTCTTGATTTACATACTGTACCTTTATTGTTAAAGTTGAAGTTCAATTTAGACGTTACTTTGGCATTTATGTGAAGTTCCATACTCTGGATCTGAGTTTACGGTCTACAGGTTTTCTTTCTTCGATTGTGTTTGCTTTTTAGAGTTTCTTGCTCGGAATTATCCTAAATCATGCTTTTGTCTATTCTTTTATAATTATGACAATTGCCTGCTAGTTATATTATATAATCAATATTCGTTTGTGTGAGGTATGTGGCGGTTCAATTTCTTTCGATTTTCGACATTTCAATCATTTTTTTTCAACATTATTGGGGCTTAATGAGATAGGTTTTTCATAATGTATCTCTAATCATCATTTCTTCTTTCATCAGGACCCTGCTGACACATAAGATGCATCACCTTGCATTTTCGGACCTATAAGGTTGATAGATGGTGAGCTCTTCATATTGCTCTTTTTATGAGAGATCTTAGACTTCTCTTCTATAGTTTTTTCTTACAAAGTTGTTCTTACAGTTGAGAGTTCTTAGAAACTGAGTATTTCACATTGACTTTGGTTTAGTTTTATTCGGTTTCTTTTCTTTTGTCTACATCATGTGTTTTTGATGACATTGATGGATGCTGTGCTCTTGTTGATGATGTGTTGCATATTAATTGTTCTCTTTACAGAAGAAGACGCTTGTCATATGAAACTAGATATGGCTGGGTTACTTTATGTTCTCCTTCACATAATATGTGAATGTTTACCACTGTTTTATCGTAATAAGATAAGATTTGACAGCTGTTTCATTCTTCATTGGGCACTTTGTTTTGTTTACGTTGTCAAACAGACCATAAAATTGGGTGCATTGATATTGATTAGTAGCCAACTGGATGTGGGTACATTGAACGTTTGTGTTCACTGTATTCTTCTGAAGTCTTCTTACCCATGAGAAAAGCATATTTCGCATTTAAGTTTGTCTATTTTCTATTTTTTTATAATTTTATCATAGCTATTGGTGCAGTACAAGGTTGTGTTATATCTTTGTAGAAAATTGATGCAAACCTTTCTGCACTGTTATTCCTGCCATTACTCTCCTGAAACCACATATTAGATTTTCTTCCATTCAAGATAGCGTCTCTTACACGCTATCCTGCAATAAATAATGGAGAAGAAGCCCTGTGAACAACTTTGCTCCTAGGCTGTTGGGTGATTGCTTTTCCTTCTGTTCAGTTTTGAGATTAGCATAAATATATTCTTCTCACAAAAAATTGTATGAGCTGTTAGAGAGATTGGAATAAAATAAAACAATAGTTGATTATCTAGTTTTAAGACAGTCGTTTTAGTGAAATTGTGATTGGATCTTATGATTAATGAGAAAATCAATGGTGATTGACTGATTGTATATCGTACATTGGAAGAGATGAGTTTAATGATGAAAGCTGAATTGTTGAAATTCTTTAGGAGGAATTTTTGCCGATCTTTGTGGGGTCATCTTCAGTAATGGTGGTAATGGTGTTGTTGTTTGTCCATCATCCAAGAATGTTGTTCAGGTATCACCATTCGTTTCTATGCAATGAAACCAAAGAAACACTTAGATGGTATTGATGCTTGTCATTTATTTGATACTTTTTTCTTTTAAAATATATCAAGTAAGCTGCTATATATTCATGCATGCAATGATGCAAAAGTCAAGCTTTTGATGAAAAGTCAGTCGTATCAGTTTAAATTTGAATGAGAAATGTGTGGATGCTTACTAATATCTCCATTTCAAATTCATCAAAAGGTGCATTTAACTGTGGTTCTTAGGCTATAAGATAACTATATTTATATCTTGTTATATGGTGTTGAAAATTAAAGTAGATAAATTCATTGAGCATGATCACCTCATGAGTAAAATATCTCCACTGTAATGTGATAGAGTGGATCAATAGTGGAGACCCTAGCATGCGATCTTCTACTGGAGGCTGCCATGAGGGCGATACAGTTTCATGGGTGGAGTTTACGCATTGAGGGGCCCTGGAAATGGATCTTGTCAGAATTTGCTGACCACTATGGAGTTTCTGACTCTTACACAAAATTGAGGTACATGCAAGTAGATGGAATTGAGTGTTCTGTTTTGCAATGTCAAAGAGAGATATAAAATGTTTTCTTTGGATTTCATGCAGATACCTTTCTTATGTCTTGAATGTGGCCACTCCAACTAAAGATTGCTTAGAACTTTTGCATGAGTTGCTTGTCCCAGTCCTCAAGGCCAGAAGTGAGAGAAATTTAACAAGACAAGAAGTAAGTGTAGTATGACTGTATGAGATCATTATTCACATCATGCATCATTTCTCCTTGGTAACGGGAGCTCTATTTATTACTTTTATACCAAGTCATTACCTTTCAGGAATTATTATTGACTTCAGCTGTGAGTAGACCTAATGGATAAGTACTGACTTTAGTGTCATGGATTTAAAATATAAAATACACGTTCTCCACTAGGATGACAGGATTGTAATTGGGGTGAAGAAGATTAAAGAAGCTGATACATTCTAAAGTCCCTGAAGGACATGGGATATTTAAGAAGCTAATAATAACACATATTTCTGTTCTGAATGGGATATCAGTGTCGACATATAAAATCAATAGAATGTATTGAAATTTGTAGTAATGTGTTGCTTCTTGGAAAAATCTTGCATGAGTATGCCTCAGGCTTTGAAAACCTATTGAAAAGCATGCTTTTTTGATTCACGAACAGATTACTCTATGTTGCTCACACGTGTCTTTCACTTTTTCAAATTTTTTGGATTTACAGAAAAGCATTCTGTTAGATTGTGAGAATCAAATCGAAAGGCTTTTGGCAGAGGTGTTTCAGAGCTACAAGTTGCTTGATGAAAAATCTCCAACCGGTTTGGCAGATATGTCGGCTCCAATATCAGAAACTGCAGCACCAGCACTAACTCCGGCCGTTCAAATATACACATTTCTACATGACATACTAGCTCAACATGCTCAGACTGTGCTGAGAAACTCTCTTGAGGTAAGTCCCATCAAATGCTGCACATTATCAATAGGTCCAGAGATGCTTGAAGAAGTAAATCTTGCTTTTGGTATTCCTGTGTAATAAATTTACGCATAAATTGACCTTTAAATTTGTACACAGGAGAAGAAAATGCTTTGTGGGGTCAGCTTCACTAATGGTGTTGCTTCACTAATGGTGTTGCTGTTTGTTCATCTTTCAGGAATGCTGTTCAGGTATCACCATTCGTTTCTTATGGCTTTTTTTGCGTTGCATTTGAGTATATGTCTATGAAATGAAACCTCAAAGAAACACTTGGATGGTATTGATGCTTGTCATTTATTTGATATTTTTTTCTTTTAAAAGATACTTTTTTCCTCCAGTATTTTGGCATTCAAAAAATACTAATTAATTTCTATTCTCTTCTTACAGCGCGTTATCAACACTGCTCGGCAGCAGCGGCAGCAGCCTACAAATAATTATGGACTATCCCGAAACCTCAGTATTGTTCATCACCGTGCAATAAATATTCCTGAAGACCCGAACCCAGACGACAACCCCGTGGAGTCGGACGACGAGGACCATGAGCCCCTGATTTCCCTAACATGCCCGTGAAGATATGCTGGTTCTTAGTTTCCTTTGTGATGGCTATAATCAACCTAATGATCTACAGCAACACCAATAATTTCATCACAAACGTGACTTGGGATCTAATCCTAGCACCAAAACCCATATGGAAGGTCTTGTTTGTCTTGGGACATGTGCTAATTATATATCTGTCTCTGGCCGCGTGGTTATCTTGCCGGATTAGCATCTTCAGGAGGTGTTTAGGGTGGTTGGTGGGTGCAGACTAGGAAGCTCAATTTTTTGTCCGTTCCATAGCTGAATGGGCCATCTCAACCCTTGTAGTGTTTGCCCTCAGCAAAGATAACATAAAAAACGACTTTTGGAGCAACGTCTTGGTTTTCTTGCTGACCATGCAGGGATTACCAATGATAAACATTCTTGTCGGTTTTGGGCTTTTCGATTGTACTGGCTGCACAATTGTCATCTATTTTGGGTTGCTAACTGCAATTATTCTTGCCAAACACATCCCTCCATGGGCGGCACCGCTCGTAACAACCGTGCTCAAGTTTGGCAAACAAGGGCTTCAAGAGTCCCGCGCAAGAGGCTATTTTGATGTGATGCAGATCAGGTGCACAACCCTACTCCAAAGAATGAGGTTTTAGGGTTTCTCTTTTGATAAAACTGTGGTGTGATTTTGGAAACTATGGTCAATGGGGAATCTGTGGGTCTGTCTTTTACAAACTGAGGCTGTTCTCAATGGTTGTTACATTGGAATCTGTGTTGGTTGGTTTTTGTGATGAGGCACTTGAACTTGTGTGCTATCCTAGTTTTTTTTTATCGTCTTATTATTAGTTTTAGTTTTTAGTTCGTATTATTATTATTATTATTTTATTATTATCATAGATAATAATAATAATAATAATAATAATAATAATACGAACTAAAAACTAAAAACATAATGATAAGACGATAAAAAAAACTAGAATAGCACACAAGTTCAAGTGTCTCATCACAAAAACCGACCAACACAGATTCCAATGTAACAACCATTGAGAATAGCCTCAGTTTTTACAAACAGACCCACAGATTCCCCATTGACCACAGTTTCCAAAATCATACCACAGTTTTATCAAAAGAGAAACCCTGAAACCCCATTCTTTGGAGTAGGGCTATGCACCTGATCTGCATCACATCAAAATAACCTCTTGCGCGGGACTCTTGAAGCCCTTTTTTGCCAAACTTGAGCACGGTTGTTACGAGCGGTGCCGCCCATGGAGGGATGTGTTTGACAAGAGTAATTGCAGTTAGCAACCCAAAATAAATGACAATTGCGTAGCCAATACAATCGAAAAGCCCAAAACCGACAAGAATGTTTATCATTGGTAATCTCTGCATGGTCAGCAAGAAAACCAAGACGATGCTCCAAAAGTCGTTTTTTATGTTATCTTTGCTGAGGGCAAACACTACAAGGGTTGAGATGGCCCATTCAACTATGGAACGGACAAAAAATTGAGCTTTCTGGTCTGCACCCACCAACCACCCTAAACACCTCCTGAAGATGCTAATCCGGCAAGATAACCACGCGGCCAGGGACAGATATATAATTAGCACATGTCCCAAGACAAACACGACCTTCCATATGGGTTTTGGTGCTGGGATTAGATCTCAAGTCGCGTTTGTGATGAAATTATCGGTGTTGCTGTAGATCATTAGGTTGATTATGGCCATCACAAAGGAAACTAAGAACCAACATATCTTCAGGGGAATGCTAAGGAAATCAGGGGGCTCATGGTCCTCGTCGTCCGACTCCACGGGGTTGTCGTCTGGGTTAGGGTCGTCTGGGTTGGGGTCTTCAGGAATATTTATTGCACGGTGATGAACAATACTGAGGTTTCGGGATAGTCCATGATTATTTGTAGGCTGCTGCCGCTACTGCCGAGCATTGTTGATAACGCGCTGTAAAAAGAAAATAGAAATTAATTAGTATTTTTTGAATGCCAAAATACTGGAGGAAAAAAGTATCTTTTAAAAGAAAAAAGTATCAAATAAATGACTAGCATCAATACCATCCAAGTGTTTCTTTGAGGTTTCATTTCATAGACATATACTCAAATGCAACGCAAAAAAAGCCATAAGAAACGAATGGTGATACCTGAACAGCATTCCTGAAAGATGAACAAACAACAACACCATTATTGAAGCTGACCCCACAAAGCATTTTCTTCTCCTGCGTACAAATTTAAAGGTCAATTTATGAGTAAATTTATTACACAGGAATACCAAAAGCAAGATTTACTTCTTCAAGCATCTCTGGACCTATTGATAATGTGCAGCATTTGATGGGACTTACCTCAAGAGAGTTTCTCAACAAAGTCTGAGCATGTTGAGCTAGTAGTACGAGTGTTACGAGGAATTGTTTCGAGTAACAATCGCAGGTTCTTTCGCCTAATAGTAGTCTTCAATTTATTAGTAATTAAGTCACAAACCAAGAACTTTTCAAAAATTAAATTTTATAAAATTAATTATTTACCAACTCGGGGACTAATATGCGACGTTTGTATGTCGCAATTTCGTATGTCGCAGAATATATAATTTGCAGAAACAAGCATAAAAAAATATGTTATCCTTTATAGTACGAGTGTTATGAGGTTTTTATGCGGAATTGTTTCGAGTAATAATCGAAGGTTCATTCGCTTAATTAGTGTTCAATTTATTAATAATTTAGTCACAGACCAAGAACTTTCCAAAAATTAAATTTTATAAAATTAATTATTTACTACCTCGAGGACTAATATGTCGCGACGTTCGTATGTCGCAAGTTCGTATGTCGCAGAATAGAAAATTTATAAAAACAAACTTAAAATATATATGTTATTCGTTATAGTACGAGTGTTATGCGGTTTTTACGCGGAATTGTTTCGAGTAATAATCGTAGGTTCATTCGCCTAATAGTAGTCTTCAATTTATTTGTAATTTAGACACAGACAAAAAACTTTCCAAAAGTTAAATTTTATAAAATTAATTATTTACCAACTCGGGGACTAATATGCGACGTTTGTATGTCGCTATTTCGTATGTCGCAGAATAGCAAATTTACAAAAACAAACATAAACAAATATGTGATTCGTTATAGTACGAGTGTTATGCGGTTTTTATGCGGAATTGTTTCGAGTAATAATCGCAGGTTCATTCGCCTAATTAGTCTTCAATTTATTAGTAATTTAGTCACAGACCAAGAACTTTCCAAAAATTAAATTTTATAAAATTAATTATTTATCAACTCGAGGACTAATATGCGACGTTTGTATGTCGCAATTTCGTATGTCGCAGAATATATAATTTGCAGAAACAAACATAAAAAATATGTTATTCTTTATAGTACGAGTGTTATGAGGTTTTTATGCGGAATTGTTTCGAGTAATAATCGTTGGTTCATTCGCTTAATTAGTCTTTAATTTATTAGTAATTAAGTCACAGACCAAGAACTTTTCAAAAATTAAATTTCATAAAATTAATTATTTACCAACTCGGGGACTAATATACGAAGTTTGTATGTCGCAATTTCGTATGTCGCAGAATATATAATTTGCAGAAACAAACATAAAAAAATATGTTATTCTTTATAGTACGAGTGTTATGAGATTTTTATGCGGAATTGTTTTGAGTAATAATCGCAGGTTCATTCGCTTAATTAGTCTTCAATTTATTAGTACTTTACTCACAGACTAAGAACTTTCCAAAAATTAAATTTTATAAAATTAAGTATTTACCAACTCGGGGACTAATATGTGACGTTTGTATGTCGCAAGTTCGTATGTCGCAGAACAGAAAATTAATATAAACAAACTTATTAAAATATATGTTTTTCGTTACATTACGAGTGTTATGCGGTTTTTATGCAGAATTGTTTCGAGTAATAATCGCAGGTTCTTTCGCCTAATAGTAGTCTTCAATTTATTAGTAATTAAGTCACAGACCAAGAACTTTCCAAAAATTAAATTTCATAAAATTAATTATTTACCAACTCGGGGACTAATATGCGACGTTTGTATGTCGCTATTTCGTATGTCGCAGAATAGCAAATTTACAAAGACAAACATAAACAAATATGTGATTCGTTATAGTAGGAGTGTTATGCGGTTTTTATGCGGAATTGTTTCGAGTAATAATCGCAAGTTCATTCGCCTAATTAGTCTTCAATTTATTAGTAATTTAGTCACAGACCAAGAACTTTCCAAAAATTAAATTTTATAAAATTAATTATTTACCAACTCGGGGACTAATATGCGACGTTTGTATGTCGCAATTTCGTATATCGCAGAATATATAATTTGCAGAAACAAACATAAAAAAATATGTTATTCTTTATAGTACGAGTGTTATGAGGTTTTTATGCGGAATTGTTTCGAGTAATAATCGCAGGTTCATTCGCTTAATTAGTCTTCAATTTATTAGTAATTTAGTCACAGACCTAGAACTTTGCAAAAATTAAATTTTATAAAATTAATTATTTACCAACTTGAGGACTAATATGCGATGTTTGTATGTCGCAAGTTCGTATGTCGGAGAATAGAAAATTTATAAAAACAAACTTAAAAAATATATGTTATTCGTTATAGTACGAGTGTTATGCGCTTTTTATGCGGAATTGTTTCGAGTAATAATCGCAGGTTCATTCGCCTAATAGTAGTCTTCAATTTATTTGTAATTTAGACACAGACCAAAAACTTTCCAAAAGTTAAATTTTATAAAATTAATTATTTACCAACTCGGGGACTAATATGCGATGTTTGTATGTCGCTATTTCGTTTATCGCAGAATAGCAAATTTACAAAAACAAACATAAACAAATATGTGATTCGTTATAGTACGAGTGTTATGCGGTTTTCATGCGGAATTGTTTCGAGTAATAATCGCAAGTTCATTCGCCTAATTAGTCTTCAATTTATTAGTAATTTAGTCACAGACCAAGAACTTTCCAAAAATTAAATTTTATAAAATTAATTATTTACCAACTCGGGGACTAATATGCGACGTTTGTATGTCGCAATTTCGTATGTCGCAGAATAGAAAATTATAAAAACAAACTTAAAAAAATATATGTTATTCCTTATAGTACGAGTGTTATGCGGGTTTTATGCGAAATTGTTTCGAGTAATAATCGCAGGTTCATTCGCCGAATAGTAGTCTTCAATTAATTTGTAATTTAGACACAGACCAAGAACTTTTCCAAAATTAAATTTTATAAAATCAATTATTTACCAACTCGGGGACTAATATGTGACGTTTGTATGTCGCAATTTCGTATGTCGCAGAATAGCAAATTTACAAACACAAACATAAAAAAATATGTGATTCGTTATAGTACGAGTGTTATGAGGTTTTTATGTGGAATTGTTTCGAGTAATAATCGCAGGTTCATTCGCCTAATTAGTCTTCAATTTATTAGTAATTTAGTGTCAGACCAAGAACTTTCCAAAAATTAAATTTTATAAAATTAATTATTTACCAACTCGGGTACTAATATGCGACGTTTGTATGTCCCAATTTCGTATGTCGCAGAATAGAAAATTTACAAAAACAAACTTAAAAAAAATATATGTTATTTGTCATAATACGAGTGTTATGCGGAATTGTTTTGAGTAATAATCGCAAGTTCATTCTCCTAATAGTAGTCTTCAATTTATTAGTAATTTAGTCACAGACCAAGAACTTTCCAAAAGTTAAATTTTATAAAATTAAGTATTTACCAACTCGGGGACTAATATGCGACGTTTGTATGTCGCAAGTTCGTATGTCGCAGAACAGAAAATTAATATAAACAAACTTAAAAAAATATATGTTTTTCGTTATATTACGAGTGTTATGCGGTTTTTTTGCAGAATTGTTTTGAGTAATAACCACAGGTTCTTCCGCCTAACAGTAGTCTTCAATTTATTAGTAATTAAGTCAAAGACCAAGAACTTTCCAAAAATTAAATTTCATAGAATTAACTATTTACCAACTCCGGGACTAATATGCGACGTTTGTATGTCGCAATTTCGTATGTCGCAGAATATATAATTTGCAAAAACAAACATAAAAAAATGTTATTCTTTATAGTAAAAGTGTTATGAGGTTTATATGCAGAATTGTTTCGAGTAATAATCGCAGGTTCATTCGCTTAATTAGTCTTCAATTTATTAGTAATTTAGTCACATATCAAGAACTTTCCAAAAATTAAATTTTATAAAATTAATTATTTACCAACTCGAGGACTAATATGCGACGTTTGTATGTCGCAAGTTCGTTTGTCGCAGAATAGAAAATTTATAAAAACAAACTTAAAAAATATATGTTTTTCGTTATAGTACGAGTGTTATGAGGTTTTTATGCGGAATTGTTTCGAGTAATAATCGCTGGTTCAATCGCTTAATTAATCTTCAATTTATTAGTAATTAAGTCACAGACCAAGAACTTTTCAAAAATTAAATTTTATAAAATTAATTATTTATCAACTCGGGGACTAATATGCGACGTTTGTATGTCCCAATTTCGTATGTCGCAGAATATATAATTTGCAGAAACAAACATAAAAAAGTATGTTATTCTTTATAATACGAGTGTTATGAGGTTTTTATGCGGAATCGTTTCGAGTAATAATCGCATGTTCTTTCGCCTAATAGTAGTCTTCAATTTATTAGTAATTTAGTCACAGACCAAGAACTTTCCAAAAATTAAATTTTGTAAAATTAATTATTTACCAACTCGAGGACTAATATGCGACGTTTGTATGTCGCAAGTTCGTATGTCGCAGAATAGAAAATTTGTAAAAACAAACTTAAAAAATATATGTTATTCGTTATAGTACGAGTGTTATGCGGTTTTTACGCGGAATTGTTTCGAGTAATAATCGCAGGTTCATTCGCCTATTAGTAGTCTTCAATTTATTTGTAATTTAGACACAGACCAAAAACTTTCCAAAAGTTAAATTTTATAAAATTAATTATTTACCAACTCAGGGACTAAAATGCGACGTTTGTATGTCGCTATTTCGTATGTCGCAGAATAGCAAATTTATAAAAACAAACATAAACAAATATGTGATTTGTTATAGTACGAGTGTTATGCGGTTTTTATGTGGAATTGTTTAGAGTAATAATCGCAGGTTCATTCGCCTAATTAGTCTTCAATTTATTAGTAATTTAGTCAAAGACCAAGAACTTTCCAAAAATTAAA